GTAAAAAAAAAAAAATTTTTTTTTTTTTTTTTTTTTTTTTTTGTACTTTTGAAATAGAACTACTAGAAGCCAGGCGTGGTAGTGCATGCCTGTAATTCTAGCACTTAAAAGGCTGAGGCAGGGGGATCGCTGTGAGTTTAAGGCCAGCCTGAACTATGTTAGTGAGACCCTATCTCAAAATAACAATAGCAAAAAGCCAAACAACTAGAATCTCTTGTTTCAGATGCACAGTCAGATTGAGACATTTTAGGGAAATAAATACATTCTTTCTACAGTGCCTCAAGGTGCACAGGTGCTTCTCGTTTCCCAGTGGAACACATGACGTGTTACCACAGCGAGCAGCAGGGCGGGCTGGCCTACGTGGCACCCCCTGCCCCCGAAGGTCAGAGTCAGGCCAAGCACTCACGAGGAGAAGGGGCTGAGGAGCCAGTGCAGCTGCCGCTCAGGATCAGGACGTGTGTCCGGCCGTGCGGGCATCCTCCCTTCCTGCACAGATTCAGTCTGGAATTCCCAGGCATCTTTTTTTTTTTTTTTCCTTTTTTTCCCTGATAGGGAATTTTGAACATAGAGAATAGCACTTTCTGTCACGAAGCAGATGTGAAGATTGCCTCCGATTCAGCACAGAGACGGTGTCGTTCTGGCCGGGAGGGCCGCGGTCCGGCAGTTGGTTAGGAGGAGGACTCTGGAAAGGCCTGAGCTTGCCATTCTTAACAGCGGGCCTCGTCCTTGGAGAGCTCTTGCTTCTGGGTTAAGCTCTGCCTCTTCCTTTCACTGGGACCTGGATCGAGGTCTCGAGCTCCGCAAGGTTCCGCATGGCTTCCACTGCCTGTGTTAGGGACTCTGGGCCTGCCGCTGGGATTTGTTTTTCTTTTGTTGTTTGGCAGTACTGAGGATTGTACGCAGGACCTCTTGCATGATAGGCAAGCGCTCCTCCACTCAGCTACATCCCCAGCCACCGCACCTGTTTCTTAACAGTCTTTTTTGAGACAGTGTCTCAAGTTGGTCAGTCTGGTCTAGAACCTGCCTTAGCCTCTTCAGTAGCTGGGATTACAAGTGTGCAGCACCACGCTTAGAGAGGATGCTGTAGGAGGAAGGTGGGGATGCATTGCTGACAGGCGAGGTGAGCCACGACTGTGGTGAATGCACACTGATGTGCAGTTGTGGGAGACAGAATGGGGGTCGGAGTTCCTGGAGGCGTTGACTTCTTCACATCTGAGAGCACAGGGCCATGTGACTCAGGTGAGGAGGAGGGCAGACTCCAGCGGAAGAAGCAGTCAGAGGGACCAGGACAAAATGACAAGGCCAGGGAGGCTCAGGGTGGCTTGGTGATTGGCCTTGTCACTTTGGCAACCTGAGTGCAGGAGGCAGCTGGCTTTGGGGTGCAAGTGCACCCAGTGTCCTTCGAACTGAGAGGGTAGGCTTTCCAGCAGTGCATGCTTGGGGCAGCCGCAGAGGCAGTGTGGGGGTGCCTGTGCTGCTGGTGCTGCCTGGCAGGCCCCATAGAGGACCGAGCTGTGGACAGTGCCCCATGGAGCTGGTCTGCGCTGGGAAGGCTAGGGAGGCTCAGCCTGGAGGTTGGGCGCGTGTCATCACAGCTGACCAGGACTGCTGTTCTGTGGCCCTCCTCCCGCACAGGACATGATGCGGATACATTGTTTGGAAGCAAGTGCTGGGCTTTCATCCAGTGTTTACTTTAGAATCATCTCAAAAGGCAGAGCTTGGCTGGGTGAAATCAGCTCTCTTGCTATCCCCGGGAAAGGCCACAGCAACCTTCGGCATTTGGGGCCTCGAAGCCAAACTTCCCACTCACTGATCCTCGAAGTCCCCCATCTGATCCCTGTGGGGAGGCAGGTGCCCCCAGCCCCCACCTCAGCCATGCCTTCTGGTGTTCTCCCATTGAGTCCTCGTGCCCCTGGCCTCCAGTATTCGATCTAGAGATGCTTGGTGTCAGCAGAACTTCTGTTCTGCGTTTCATCCTGGCCTTGAGAAGGACCCCCGCCCCATGGTATCAAGAGCCTCGGCACCCCAGTGACGATTTCAGCCCTGATGGCGGGTCTGTGGAGCAGTCTGTAGACTGGTTTGTGCACACAGGCTGAGTGTGATTGGGACTGGTTGCCCTCCAGGAGGATACCTGTGCTCCTAGCACCGGCTCTTCATTCTGAGCCATCGGTGTCTCTGAGAAGTGTCCTTATGCAGCTCTTATTCTAAATTCTAAAATCTGACTTGTTCACAGCCACAGACCCAGCCTTGGTGCCTTAGCAGTGCTGTTGGCCCTGGCCCGCCCCCCGCCAGACAGTGTGTGGGCACGGCCAGGGCCCTGGCTCACCTTGCCGTCTCTTGGTGGGCTTGCGTGTCAGCTGCCTGGGAGAGGCTGCCCTCACAAGTCGTGCACTGCGTGAGTCGTGGCCAAGGGCAAGTAGCACATGAGCCCTGGCTCTTCAGTCCTGGAGACTGCAGTGCAGCAGGCCCCACCTCTCCCTCAGACCTCCCTCAGGTGCAAGACTCAGAAGTCACAAATCAGGGTGACACAGGAGGGAAATGTAGCCCTGAGAGGAAAGAAATTGCAGTGCACCAAGCAGAGGGTCGGAGAAGGTGCTTTCCACGGGTAGATTCCTTGTGTATTTCTGGGAAGGGAGGGACAAGGCCCCCAGGAGAGCACATGGTGCCAGTGTGGAATATGGTGGTGGGCTCAGTCACAAGGACAGGAGAGTGCTGCGGAGGCCAGGACATCCCTGGGGATCCCAGCAGTGTGGGGACAACAGCGAACTCGCTTGTCTCGTGTAGGTGGTGCTGAGCTGCTGTGTGGCTTGCACTTGGCGTGGCTCAGAGCAAAGATGAGTGTGCAGGGTCCTCACCTGTCCTGCCAAACAGATGTGCTCACCTGGCCATCATTCATGGCCCAGGAGACCCAGGCAGGTGCTTGCCATCCCATCTAGATGGAGCGAAGCTGCAGCAAGCAGGGTCTATGTTCTAAGCTCTGTGTCCTGCTGGGGTAGAAAGGGAGTGGTGTTCGAGCCCAGAGCTTATCTCTCCTCTGCCATGTCACAGGCTTACAGCAGCCAGCTGCTCAGTGTGCAGCGAGCCTCAGCCAGGACCCTGTGGGTGGCAGAGGTGAGGAAAGCACTGGGCGCTCTGTGTGCCATGGCTCGGAGGAAGCCAGCCTCGTCGTGAGTGTAGAGCAGATGGTGTTTACATGCCACACTCATCTTCCTCACGTGGGTCAGGCGGAGTGGGGGCCGCCTTCCCGGGAATAGCAGTCGTTTCCGGTCTCCGTCAGACTCCAGCTACCCCTGGGTGCTTTGAGGGCCCCTGCGCTCCTGCAGCCTTGTGGGACTGGCGAGGGACGAGTCGCACAATGGCGGCTTTCCTGGGCCAAGGAAAGCTAGGCTGTGGACGCTTATTCGGAACCTTGCTAACGTGGGACTCTCGTATTTCTCTGCAGAGGATTACCCCAACGGCACCTGGCTCGGCGACGAGAACAACCCCGAGATGAGGGTGCGCTGCGCCATCATCCCCTCGGACATGCTGCACATCAGCACCAACTGCCGCACCGCCGAGAAGATGGCTCTCACACTGCTGGACTACCTCTTCCACCGTGAGGTGCAGGCTGTGTCCAACCTGTCGGGCCAGGGCAAGCACGGGAAGAAGCAGCTCGACCCGCTCACCATCTACGGCATCCGGTGTAAGCGCGTCCTGTTTCTGCCTTGGGTGGGGTGTGAGGTGTTTGGAGAGCTGAGTCTGGACATGTTTCCAGGGCTGGAAGGATGGAGGAATCCGGGGGCTCAGGGTGGGGGTGTGGGGGGGCCACGTTGAGCATTTTCCCGCAACAAGAAAGACCCTTGGGAAGTGTTTCTTGGGGATTTCAGATCCAGCCTTGCCAGTCCTCAGGCCGTTCTTGAGGCTGCTAATGACAGCTCCCTTCGCAGGCCAGCACTATGAGCACAGTGCTGCCTGCCTCCCGTTATGGGAAGCGTCCAGCCCAGCTGTGCCGGAAGCCAGAGGAGCCCCAGGCCTGACCACATGGCCCAAGTCTCCTCCATCTGAGGGGCAACACTCACTCAAGCTGTCACTGTGGCTTCCCAGTGATGACACCTGGAGAGGGTGTGTCACACTCAGACCCTCTGCTTCTTGCCTTTGGCCTGGCACCCTCGGGTCGTGTCCCATTGTCCCCAGTTTCCAGGGCTACCTGGTGGCTTCTGGTGAGATAGCATGGAGAGGGGTGGGCGTGGGAGCTGTTGCACTGAAGTCTAGTCCCCCACCTGCAGCTCTGATGCCAGCCCGTGGCAGTGTAAGGGCTGAGCTTTCCAGGAGTGCCTCAGAAGCCGTGGGATCCCTGTGCGTGTGGCCCCAGAGGAAACAGGCTGAGGGTGTCCTGTGGACTGCAGAGCTTTCTGGAAGTCACCAAGGAACACGGCCTAGTCCGGCTGATCCTTGAGTGGGGGAGGCTGGCTCTCAGCCCAGTGAATGTGTCCCCAGCCCAGCCTCATGTGCTTATCTCAGAGCATTGTTTCAGAGAGCTGACTGACACCTGTGACCTCCTGACTGAGGTCGTGAATGTGCAGTGTTGTGGCTTGGCGTGGAGCAGGGTCTACAGACGTTTTCTCAGGGCCACATATTGGGTATTTCAGGCCTTTCTCCAACTGCTCTGAGAGCACTCAGACCAAACATAAGCAATCAGATGTGGCTGTGTTCCAATAAAACATTTATCTTCAAAGGCAGGCAGCAGGCCCTCCCGGGGCAGTTGATCCCGGCACACCTGTGCACGTGACCTTGAGACCGCTGGATTGCTGGCTCACAGGCTGCCATGTGAAGTGTTGGACTGTGGAGACCATGGCATGGGGTGCTGTTGGGTTAAAGAGAAGAATGGCAGATGGGTCCTGGTCAGACACGTAACGGTGTCTGTAATGCAGAAGGTGGTGTTAGAGGCCATGGAAATTAGAGGAGGCAGTCTGGACAGTGGGCACCTTGCACAAAGATGCTGGCCCACAGGTCAGGTTCTGTGTGGGAGCATTAGGGTGCTAGTGACAGCCCTTGTTCCCAAGAGGTGTCTCTGTTCCTCTGGGAGATGCCAGGGTGTCCAGATGTGCAGCTGAAGGGTGGCAGCTGGCTCTGATTTGAGGACTACCTTGGAACGTCTGTCCCAGGACTGTGGGCTTCCTGGACACAGGCTACGATTGGTAGTGGCACAAAGAATGCTCTGGAGAAGTGGTCAGGGCCTGGCAGGGCAGGACTTAGAAGCAGAAGCATAGGTGACAAGGGGGCACAACTGTGTTCACGGAGCCTACTCAAGCTTGTGGACGATGCTGGTCTCACACAGTGGGGATAGATCCTGGTTCCCCTGCCTCTAGGAGTCAGCCTTCCTGCCACATGTCTGCACACAGTCACATGGTGTCAGGAGGCACGAGGTGTTTGTGGAAACTGTGTCCTCCATCCTCTCTGGGCCTGTGCTATGCTCATCAAGCTGTGGGCATTGACAGTGCTCACTGCATCACCCCAGCTGTTACGCTGTGTATCTAGCTGTCCCCCCAAGGCCTCATGCGCTCATAGGTGGGGCTTTGGGGAGTGGCTGGATCATGGGTGTGTGGTCCTCAGTTAGTCCACTGAGGGTTTGGAGCCGGGTGTGGTGTTGGGAGGTGAAGCCTGCTGGGAAGAGGTGGGTCACTGGGCGTGGCCTGGAAGGGGGTATGTATGTATTCCACCCCTTCCTTGGAGGGCGTTTCCTCCTGCCTGCCCTGCCAGCGACTATTTCTCCTCTACCATTCCACCTACCTTGGAGCCATCTACACACTGTGAGCCTAAATGACCCTCTCCTCCTCTGAGTTATGGTGTCAGGTATTGTGTTCCAGCACCAGGAAAGTAACTAGCCCCTCAGAGATGCCTGGTAAGTGCTGTGTCCACAGCACATGCTGGCAGTGTTGTGGGCGGGGCTTCAGGAAGACAGGAAAGCAGTGGCCGGCCCTGGAGCCTTGTGGAGAGACTGAGGCACTGCCGGGGACAGCCAGGGCTTGGCTATGCAGACAGGAATAGATGAACGAGTCCCGGGCTTCTGGCAACATGAGCAGGTGTCATCCTCGCAGCACTCAGTTCACCATCACTGCTGCCTACCGGGAGATCCGATTCTTTCCTGTGCAGCAGGTGACTGACTCACTCCTGGATCACAGGCAGAATTTACATGGAAGCCTGGGTGGTGGTGGCCTGAGTGCTGTGGTGGAGCTGTGGTCAGGGCACCATGCATGGCACGTGCAGACTGCCGCCTCACACGGCTTTCTGAGGGATGAGCTCCTTTTCCATGTGCTCCTGTGTCTCTGATGCAGAATCTGTAGAGCGAAGAAGGCTCACGCAAGCACTCACAAGCACTCCCTGGTCAGGCCCCAGAGTTGGAGAAGTGTGGCTGCCCCTTGTGTGCCCTCCACGCAGTTGTGGCCGGCACCTGGGAAAGCCAGCCCTTAGAGAGCGGGGCAGGGCTGTCAGACAGAGGGCATCTGCTGGAGCCGGGTGAGGCCTCGAGCTCGTGCTCTGTCGGCTGACCCTTGTGTGTAGTTTCACTGGTGGGAGCAATGAAAAGAAAAGGCACCCACTGGGGCATTTCCCACTTGGTGGAAGCCATGCGCTTGGGTGACTTTCTTTAAGCAGGAAAGTAGTGGCTGCTGTGTCTTGCTGAGTAGACTGCTCTTGGAGGGGACGGGGCTCTGAAGAGCCGTCTCGTGCCTGTCTCGGATGTCCCAAGCAGGTAGGTGTGCACATCTCCCCTTGGACAGGAACTGCCTATGGGCCTTCAGAGAACCCGGCCTGGATGCACCGCACTGGGCCTGGGGACCCAGAGCAAAGCTGCAGAGAGAATGGAGCCTGAGACTGTGGGTACCCAGAGCCCGCTCTAGGGTCTGTAGGCCGGCTCTGACTGGGCTTCCTGTCCTTCTGGCAGTTCACACTGCAGGCGTACTCTTGTAGAGAAGGAGCAGGCTGAGAGTGACCTCAGCACGTGACCTTGGTGGGTCCCTCTGTGCCTCAGCTTCCTTGGTTTTCCAAGAGAGAGACCAGCAGAACTCTGTGGGCTTCGGATTGGTGCGGTCGGCCCTCCCCACTCGTGGAGCCCTCACCAGGATCAGGGTAGTAAGTCAGGTCCCTGCTGGGGTCCAGCCCCTCTGACACTATGGCAGGAATCCCCTGCTCCCTGCTGCCCACCCGGACCCACCTGTGTGGGTAAGGCCTCTGCAGGTCACAGCCCTGTTGCTAGTGGTCGTGGAATTGTTGAAATGTTAAAAATGCTTGTTTACCTTTTCCCCATCTGGCTCAGTTAATTCTTACTGCTGGTTATTGCATAACACACAAAATAAACAAACACATGGACCAAACTCCTGAGGCCTTAGCTGGGATAGAAGCGAGAGCAGAACTGGCTAATGTCCCCTGCCACTGTCCCCTTACCTCTGTTTCTGCCGCTGCTGGAGTTTCTCAGTGACATCTGTGGCTGTAGTGCTGGAAGCTTGCTTCTGGCTTTGTTTGTCCAAGTCCTGCTCATTATGTAGAAGGTTTTGGTTTAAGCCTCTTTTCTGTAAGCAGAAATATTCTGGAGACAAAAATCTGCATTTTGAAACCTGTAATTGGTCTTGTCGCTAAGTACTGTCTTTGTGAAATGAAGTTGGTGTTTTGAAAGGGAGAGAGAGAAATTCGGGGGGGCTGTTGGCTTTTATAGGATTCCCAAGGATTGATGGACCTCCTGCTCTGAATTTGGACAACGAACTAGTTTGTGTGCTTCATGCAAGAGTAGCATGTGGCTGTGACTTGGAGAAACTTGGAACGTTTTCATGAGTAATGCCCTCTTTCTTTTAGGCTTAGCTCTTGTGATTTTTTTCTTTAAATCGGATTTGGTAAGCTTCTGTTAGATAATGCTGAACAGCAAGTCCTCTCTGTGAGGTACCAGATATGAAATGAAAATGACTTCAGAATGGCAGTTTTAGTCCTTTGAAGACATCTGTGAAGAATGTGGATGTGGATGATGGACCCGCGAGGCCTTCTGGCTCTTGGGAGAAGTTGGGATCATTTGCACAAAGCAGAAGTTGTATTCACAGGTGACCCAGCAGACGACCGGACCGGAGCTGCTCCTGTGAGCTCACCCGCCCTAAGATGTGGGCAGTTCCAGGGAGCAGCAGTCCCAGTGCAGGTGGCTTCCCTGGCCCGGCTCGTCTGGCACCCATCTTGGGTTCCTGGGGCTGCTGGAACAAAGTCCTGCAGACAGAGGCCGGAAACACAGGCTCTTGCTCTCTCTCAGTTCAGGAGGCCAGGCCCCCAAGAACCTGGTCTTCGCAGGGTGGCCTTGCCTCCTCGGAGGGGCTCTGCTCCCGCCAGCATCCTGTGGTAACACTGCTCTGTGCCCCCGCCTCATGGCAGCCCCGCTCCCTTCCCTGCCTGTCGTTACAAGGCCTTCTTCTCCATGTGTGTCCACATCTGTGCCTCTCCTCTCCTTATAAGAACACCAGTCCCAATGCAGTGAGCCCACGAGTATGATCTCATCTTAGTTAATCAGGAGTGCAGAGACCCTGGGTCCCAGAGGGGTCACATTCCCAGGTCCTGGGAAGGACCTGCATTTCAGGGGAGCACTGTTCAACCCAGACACAGGGTTTGGGCTCTGAATGCGGGTAATCGGAAACTATTTCTTAGCCACGTTTCCTTCTGTGGGGTGAATGTATTTGCTGGCAGGGCATAGGCTGCACAAGGTGCTGATGAGGGTCTCCTGTGGCCAAGCACAGCTGTCAGGGGCCACTGAGTGCACCGTCTGTCTGCAGAGCTGGGGAGGGCTGGTCAGCCAGGCCAGCAGCCCAGAGGGAAGCCCCTCCTTGGTGGAACACTGCTCGGGGTTGGCAGAGGCGTCAGGATCCTCATGGATCTATCATCCGTATCCACATTCTTCACAGATGTCTTCAAAGGGCTTCATTTTCACTTTATTCTGGTACCTAACAGAGAGGACTTGCTGTTTGGCATCATCTAAGCAGAAGCTTACCTCTGCACACACGAAGCCGAGCTGAGGTGCTCACCGCTTTCACAGTGGTGAGCAGGAGCACTGGGGAGAGTGCTGCCTTGCCAGGAGGTGGGAGCCTCGGGTGTGGGGCCTGGCGAGTTGGCAAGAGGAGCATGGCCTTCTTGTGCGTTTCTGGACCAGCTGCTATCTAGTCCGTCTGCAATTTTAAGAACTAAGTTGTTGGCACTCAGCTTGCTGCTTTACTTTCTCCTTGCACTTGAGGTTATATTAGCAGTGATCGTGTTCTTCGCTCCTTTGTGACTGATGAAGCAAACATGCAGCCCACCGTGGCTGTGAGGTTCCTTTCACCTTCCCTCTTCTGCAGCACCGCTCGGGGCACCGTGCAAGGCTCTTGTTAAGAGAGAGTGAGGGTCTGGTTTTTCCGGCCGGGGCCTTCGGTGTCAGCAGTGGGCATCTAGGGAGTGCAGAGGCTGGTGACGAGAGGGCAGGCACGGCTCCTCCCAGACCTTGCCAGTGGCGGGGGCTTCCCTCCAGGTGACTGAGGGCTGCTCCGTAGGTGGCTGCCCTGCTTCCTGCTCTGTAGACCACACCAGCAGCCTTTCCCCTCCCAGGCCAGTGTGTGCTCTGCCAGAGCAGTGGCACGGTCAGTCAGGCAAGGGCATCCTGGTGGGCCAATACACACGCGCACCCTTTCCTGCTCCGTCCCCAGCCTGCTCACCCTGGGCCAGGAAAGGGAGGGTAGTGAGGCCACCTCCCTCCCCTTGGGTGCACTGTGAAGCCACCCTGGAGGGCAGGTTCTTTTCCTACCTGGCAGTTTGCCTCAGACCCTCACTTCTGGCTTCTGCCTCAAAACCAACACGAGGGTAATGGCATTTAATGTGCATTCAAAGGTGCTGGTCACTGCTCAGGTTCTGTGGTGGCTGTGGTCAGCAGTACATCCTCTTTCACGGAAGTGACCAGTGGGGCGACAGGAGGCACATGTTGGTCGCTAGACAGACATTTAGAGTGAGGATTGGGTGATCTCTGACGAGTCCAGCGTCGCCACTTTATGGGTTTCCTTTTTGTAGGGCTGTGCTTCCTGACGCTTTCAGTCCACCCTCTTAACCCACTGTCCTTTTACCTAGAGCACAGAAATCTGGTTGTTGTTTCAGTTAAATCTGCCTAAGTGTTACTTCTAGAAAAAGTCAACAGTTGTCTTTCAAAATGAAAGACACTGTTGATACTTAATGTAGTACTTAAAAACCCAAACACTTCCTTTGTTTTGATTATTTTGAGTATTTTGGCCTCAATCAGAACAGATTTTTAGGCATTGGGCAGTAATTCAGCTCTCAGTGGATGGTCCAAACTCAGTGCTCCTAACTCATCAAAATAGGATTTTTTTAGCTCCGTCTTTTGATTGTTACTGTTTTGAATTTCATCCACTTATTTTCCTGTTAGTGGTGCAGCCGAAGTCTCTAGCTAGAGCGTCACAGTGTTGGAGAAGAGAATGTCTTGTGATCCCCACATCGACTGTTAGTTCCTATTGCGCTTGGTACGGGGGCGGGTCCTGTGGACTAGTGAGATGTGGTGAGGTGTGCAGTGGGCAGTGGCTCCGGGACCCTCAGAGTCCCCACTGCCAAGTGAAGGACCTGGATTCTGCTGTCAGAGCCCTGGAGGGACAGCTTCGGGCCAAATGCAGTAAGCACTTAGAGGCTGGAGTGCTTACTGTGTGTGGGGACAGGCACATGTGAGCCAAACCCAGTTCCTGCATCTGAGGAAAGAGGGGCCATGGCATTGAGTGTACATTTCATGTGCAGAGGGTGGCGAGGGCCCTGGAGGAGCAGGGTGCTCTGTGGGGCAGAGCAAGTGGGGGGCAGCGAGGGTGTGCAGTGCTGGGGGTGCTGGGCTCTCCGGGAGCAGGGGACCCTGGGGACATGGGTGAGCAGAGGGAAGTGGACGTAGTTTTGGAAAGCCAGGGCCAAGTGCCTCGGGGGGACCCTTGATTTGATTCCCCAGGCAGTTGTGACGTTAGATTAGGGCAGAAAGAAGTTGGAGCACGGAGTCGGGGACTTGTGAGCACCTGTGTGGGGCATCAGGTGACTGAAAAGTCAGGTACAAGGAAAGCTGGTGTGAGCACGTGTTGCTGAGCGTTCGTGTATGATCTTGGGCGATCAGCTGTTGGCTGGCTAACTACTTTCTCTGTGAACAGCCTTGCTGGCTCCTGTCCTAGAGTATTTCCAGCGTCAGTACTTAGCCCATGAGGTGCTCCCAGGACTACAGCCTCTGGCTCACGGCTTGTATCTGGGACATGTTCTTTCAGGTCACCTTTTCTATAAATTTGGAATCACAGAATCTGACTGGTACCGAATCAAACAGAGCATCGACTCCAAATGCCGGACAGCGTGGCGGCGAAAGCAGCGAGGGCAGAGCCTGGCGGTCAAGAGCTTCTCGCGGAGAACGCCATCCTCATCCTCTTACAGTGCCTCAGGTAGGCAGGACTGCGGTGAGCCACGGGGCAGCACCCGGGGGCCTCTGTCAGCAGGTGTGTGGGGCCCTGGAGCACAGTCCCCGAGCCTTGGTCCTGGACCAGGTGTGTGCAGCAGGGAGGATGCTCGGAGGGCACAGCAGCCCTGCCCGCTTGCCCAGCTGACGGTGGAGCACCTGGGGCCTCCCTGAATTGTGCAGGAGTCCCTGCATTTGGAGCTCCTCCTCCCCTGCCCTGTTTAGATCCTGCGCACCTGGGAGGCTTCCTAACAGCAGGGTTGTGCTCACTGCATGGAGGCTGCAGATGACGGTTGGGCAGTGTCTAGGTTGTGCTCTTCAGTCCAACTCAATTTTGGGGACTCAGGCTGGTCCTCAAAATGATGGAAACAAATCTCTTGGCCTTTTTGCTCAGGCTGGCTAAAGAGCTTGTTTTCCCCAGGAAAAGTTCTCACTAGGGATGATCGTATGTTCCCGGGTGTCCCCAGGACATCGCAAGACTTGGAGCAAGTGTTTGGATTGAAGCAGTCTCCATAAGCTCCTGGGCAGCAGCTCTGGGGACTCGAGGCCGAGGGGGTCAGCCCAGGGCCCCAGCAGGCTCGGCTGTGGCTCTCCTGAGTGGAGTCTTTGTTGGGGGCTCTCTGTCCTGGAAGCTGCGTATCAGATCTTCTGGGCTCTCTGGACTGTCCTTCAGGAAGTGGTTTTCTCCTGGTTGTTTTGGTCATCACAGGATACTTAGCTGAGGCTGTTGCCAAGGTTCTTGGACGATGGAGGTGGAGGCTGTGGGCCACACAAGCTGCACCCTGGGCAGGGCAGTGCCTTCATGAGCGGCATACAGGGAGGCCACTTTGAAGAGTGCAGGCAGCCTGGTGTGAATGAGATCCTCTTGTCAAATCCCATGGCACATGACTGTGTAGCACACACAGAAGCTACCGTTTTTATTGAAAATGTGGTGCTAGTGGGTAGTGGTGGGCATCTGCACGAGATGACCTGTGTGGTGGTGGCCTCTAGATTCAGGTTATAATTCTCATCTTACTGAGCTCTTTATGTCTTTCTGTGGTTTTCAGATCACTTCCAGTAAACAGTGCATTAGTTTTATAGTTTCAGCAACACTGCTTAAAATTCAGGGGAGTAGGATTTTGCTTTTAGTCATGACACAGTAGCAGGGACCGGAGTGAAAGTATCATATAGAAACCTGGACAAGTCACAAAGCAGTGTTGTAAACGTTGGCCGCTAGGCAGCCCAGGCCATGGTCCCCGGGAAGAGGCAAGAGGGGACTTCCCTGGGTCTGACTCTGGCAGTGCCGTGGAGCCCAGAGCTGCAGGGGGCAGAGAGAAGGCTGAGGCCGTGAGAGCTCTGGCAGAGCGTCTGACTTCTGAGATGTTCATGCTGGGGTCTGAGCTCCTGCTCCTGTGCTCACAGGATCGGGGGCCACCCAGGTCCCAGCAGCCAGAGGTCCTTGCTGACGAGTGTAGCTTTCACAGGGCAGCGGGCAGCCTGTTTGTGGGGGTAGCATGTTCCCAGAGGAAAGGCAGAGCTCAAGGACAGCCTCAGAAAGATCACACCGAGTCACAGGCAGCAACACTTAGTAGGAAGATGGCAGAATCTAGACAGCCAACACAGAAAATCCACAGCTCCCTTGTCTCCTTCCATTCACTGCTGGTGGATGCAGAGACTGCTTTCGGTGGAGTCTGGGGACTGTGTCCTCCTTGACATGCTACCGTTGAGCCAGCTGAGAGACAGAAAACATGTTGCTTCTGAAGTTCACCGCTGTGTGAACTGACTGGCTCCAGTATTGTCTGTCTTAATTTACTACGTTCTTGCTAAGGTGAGGGAGAGCCAAGGACGCCTGCCAGGGTTAAGAGACCATAGGAATCTTTCTCATTGTCCCTTTGCATCTGCTCTGGGCCTACCAAAGCCTCTCTGGTATTTCAGGCATTTGGGTGATAGAAATGACCCACTGAAATGTAATGGAGCCAGAATTCCACTAGTGTGTTCTGATTGTGAGTCCAGTTGGGGTTATCTTGTATCTCTGAATTAGCAGCAGACAAAAGAAGAACTTTGAAATAAATATGTAAGTGAGATTCTGAGCCAAGACTGGTCTATTGAAAGGTGATTTGTTGTTGCCAAATTGAGTACTAACCATAAAAGCACTAGTGTCAAGAGCTTTTCTCTTTTTAAAAATCATTTTACTAAAGCACCTGTATGGTGGCACTGCTGTGTGGACTTCTACATGTTCTTGAGTGTAAGATGGCTGGGTTTTTCAATTTTTGGTTTGGGTTTTGGTTTTTTGAGACAGGGTCTCACTATGTAGTGCAGGCTGGCCTCGAACTCATAGTTGTTCTCCTGCCTCAGCCTTCCGAGTGCTGGATTACAGCCATGTGGACTGTGCCGTGCTGGGTTCTACTGCTTAAGTACAGTCTCAAGGGTGGACTGGCATCTTGGTGAGCACCGACTCAGTGGCTGGTGTTGTGGAGTTGCAGAGGACCAGCTCTTGAAAATGCACCACCTGTGGCTGTGTGCAGCCAGCTTTGCACCCTCAGGTCCAGACTTCATGCAGATACCTGCGGTCTGGTACGGTCCGTGCCTTGACATCCTTGCTCGGGTGTGAGCCTAGGGTCAGCAATTGATTGTACAAGTGCTCAATGCAAACTGTGCACTAGACTTCAGTATTAGCCCATTATGAAATACAGATTTTTAGCTGCATTTGATGCCCTATAATTCCAGCACTCTGGAGGCTGAGGCAGAAGGACCCATCTGAGCATCTTAGCAAGATGAGCCCTGTCTCAAAATAAAAAAATAAAGGAAGGGTTGCAGATGTAGCTCAGTGCAAAGGCCCTGGGCTCAATTCTCAGCACTGCAAAAACAAAACAAATCAAAAACTCATGGATTTAAATTCTTCATGTTGTGTGGTTGCAGTGAGTTCTTGATTAATGTTAACTTCAATGATTTCAGTTTTAGGTTTGAGAACCATTTGTGTACTTATAAATCCTATCTTCTGTAGTTTTTTAGAGCCTTACATATGAATGTAACCATTCTTACACACACACACACACACACACACACACACACACACACATTTGGGGGTGTACCGGAGATCAAACTCAGGATCTTGTGCCTGTGGCATGGAACCACAGGGCTAAATCCCTGGCCTCTTAGTTATTATGTTTTTGAACCATTGGAAAAGCATCAAAATTGATTGATTATTTTATTAACATTGAACAGATATTCTTTGGGAATCTGGCCTTTTAAGCATTTTGCTTGTGTATCCTCTTAATGAAATTGGAAACTGTTCTTCCTTGCATGTTTTAAAGTTGACTTTTTAAAAAGCTGTGACCTAAAATTTTCAGTATTGTTTGAAATATTAAAAAAGGATGTAATTACTGTCCTGTTGTAAATATTAATATTTTTATTAGTTAGATTTGTTTTAAAATGTGTAGAGTGAAATTGCTACTCCACGGCAGTCTAATGCCTCCTGTTAGCTGTTGAAATGTGTGAAAAGCTTTTCACAGTAGATGTTACGAGGCTGGGGGTGTAGTGCAGTGACAGAGCACGTGCCTCGCCTGTGAAGAGCCCTGGGTTTAATCCCCGGCACTGCCAATCCCCCAAATAAACAGTTTTCTCTTTCGTTTTTCTCCTTCCAGTCATCTTTTCTCACAACTCCTCCTACTACAATATGCTTTTATGCTGCAGTTTTTAAAAATCGATCATAATTCTCTGTAACAAAAATATACACATACATTTTAAAAATACATCTTATTACAATTAAGAGGAATCAAAATATACAGTGAATTTTTAAGTTTTAAAAATTCATTGCAATAAAAGGCACGTTGCTGTCAAGCCCCTCAGTGTTCCCCCTGGCTTCAGACACTTAGCCCAGCATGCTTGCCGCTTTCGGAGCACTTCTAGAAGTCCTCCTTTGTGATTGTCTTCACAAGGTGTGATTCAAATACGGCGAACGCCGCTGCTGAGTGCCATCCAGTGGACAGGCAGGCGGGCGAGAACGTGACGCTGTGTCCTCATTCACCTCACGCACTCCCTGGAGCTGGCACTGTGCGGCTTCTGGCTCCTTCCCAAAGTCAAAGTGAATGCTGTGAATAGATTCAGGACACTTAAACAGCCGTGGCAGAGGACGTCCAGAGCTGCTTCAGAAAGTGGCGGGAAAGATGGGCTGGGTGTGTTTGAAGCAAGGAGTAGTGTCTTGAGGGGGATTGATGGCACCGTGTTTGTTTCTTTTTTTCTTTTTGGGGCGTTTTTTGAGACAGGGTCTCACTATGTGTTTCAGACTGCTCTGGAACTCACTGTGTAACCCAGGCTGGTCTCGAACTCGCACGATCCTCCTGCCTCAGCCTCCCAAGTGCTGGGATTACAGGCGTGCTCCACCACGCCCAGTGGCAGCGTGTTTTTACTATAATGAATTTTTAAAATTTCAATATTCACTGTATATTTTGATCACCCCTTGTATTTTTCCTTTCTGCAGATACACCCTGAGGCCCTTCACTCATTTGGCTAGATTCTTTGCACCTTTCTGGTCCCCATGTCGGGAACCTCAGTTACCCCAAACTTCCCATGATGGCCCGCACGGCCCGGAGACCTCCGACTCAGCTAGGAGTGTGGCCTGTCTTGTCCTCTCCTGTGGGACTGAGAGTGAGGGAAGAGGGGGCCTGAGATGATGCAGTGGCTCTGTGTGTGGCCCCTCCTGAGAACTGTCTTGCTTTTCTCCTTGCTCCTGCAGAGACCATGATGGGCACCCCACCGCCTGCCCCCGAGCTGCAGCCGCCGCCGCCACAGGCCCTGCACTACACCCTGGCCAACGCACAGCAGGTGCAGATCCACCAGATCGGAGAGGACGGCCAGGTGCAAGTAGTACGTGCCTTCTTGGTGTGGGGGTGTGGGGGCTGCTTGGGGAGGCGCTGGGGCATCGCTCAGAGAAGATGCCATGGCCAGGAGCCCGAGTGATGGTGCAGTGGAAGCTAGGACAGGGCATTCACTGGTCCCCAGGCCTGTCCCCTGCCCTACAGGAACGTTGTCATCACCACCTGTGTACAGCTTGACAAAGGCCAGGTCATTTTGGGCCCCTGCCTCTGCCTGGCTGCGGGGATGCACCGGCAGGCTGCGCCCCATGAGTGAGAGGGGCGCACCGGCCCCGGCGTGTGTCCAGCGTGCGCCTGGACAGGCCTTCCAGCCGGCTCTTGGGAAAGTTACAAACTCGAGCCACCGCCCCGGGAGCTTGTGTGATCAGCGTCACGTGACCTGGGAGGGCTCAGAGCAGAGCGCTCTGACACAGCTAGGGTCATGGTGACGAGGAGCAGTGCGCATCCGTCTGGCCCCAGCCAGTTTATTCTAAGGTCCACGTCGGCTGGGCTAGAATTTTACACGTGAGGACGAGTGCTCATTTCATTCAGCAGAGTTAAGGTTTATAGGGTTATTTGCTGGTCTCTGGTATCTGTAAACACAAGTGTTTTCGTTGGAGTCTTTGGCTCTTTTGGAGCCACGTTTATTAGTGTTCTCATGAGTTGTTTAAGAGTCATGTGAGTGTTTCTTTGATATAGAAATTGCCTATCTTGTTCTCAGCATGTGTGTAACTACCTCCCCTCCTGGTCACCCCTGCCTCGCAGCCTTCTAGGCTCCCGGAGAGCTGGCAGAGTGGTGCTCCTGGCATCTCCACAAGGCTTTCTCTCTCTAAGCTGGAAAGCACAGCTTTGGTTCTGATGATTGAACCCAGGGCCTTTGTATTGAGCTGTATGCTCAGCTGGTTTTTGTATTTTCTTTTTTTCCTCTTTAAATTTTTTAGATAGAGTTTTGCTAAGTTGCCAGGGAGGGCTCAAACTTGGAGTCTTCCTGCCTCAGCCTCCCAGAGTACTGGCATTATAGGTATGTGCTACTCCACCTGGCTTTTTTTAAAGTCCTGATTCGAAGTTTCTATTTCTCCCCTTGGGTATGTCACTAAAGTTCTTAAGTTTACTTACATATGATATTTAAAGAAGGGACACATTTTCCTCAGGACCATTGCTCCTGTGGGAGTGCCACCCGAGAATGTAGCTTCCCAAGCATTGGGAGGTCACCTGAGGGGCGCAGCCTGTGCAGGTCACACTCCAGTAAGGGCTCGTCCCCTCTCGAGTCATGAGCACAGAGCCAGGAGCAGACGTGGCGGAAAACGTCGCCTGTTTCCTTGGTTTGTTTTTCTTCTGATGCTTCTTGGTGTCTTCTCTTGTTGTGGATCCCGCAGGGCCACCTCCACATAGCCCAGGTGCCACAGGGGGAGCAGGTGCAGATCACGCAGGACAGCGAGGTAAGCAGTGAGCTTGGCCATGCTGCTGGCTTCCCGGGAGACTCTGCAGGATGGTACTGGGGGAACGGGAGGGAGCCTCGGTGACAGGAGCTGGGGTTTGCTGTGGGTGGGGAGCGGGTCGGGCCTGGTGTCCCCCGGAAGCTGTCAGCCATGGGTCGTGAGGGACAAGAAGAGCAGGTGAGTGGATTTAGGGTGCAGGGAGTAGGGGCCCAGCCTCACATGTCTGCCCCGCAAGTGGCGAGAGGGTCACAGGAAGGGTCCAGCGGTCAGGCTGGTGGCAGGGGTGTCCCTGTGGCCGTGTCAGCTGGGACAGGGAGGGAGGGGCTGCCGGACTCTTGATCCTGTAAGCATTTGATTAGGGGAGATACAGTGCAGTCAGAGGGAAAGTTTTTCATTGTTGATGCTAAAAAATTCTTGAGACTACTTCTTGAATTTCAGTTTTTACTGTCAGTTCTCAAAACGGAATCCCTCTTGTGTAAATAGTTATTTTTGCCTCCATTAAGCATCAAACCCAGTACATTGGAGTGGCTTGCCTGCAGTCAGAGGTAGCTGTGGGGGGTGGCAGTGTGCCGCTCGCTCACAGAGCTCCTTACACAGTGCAGTGTGTCCTTGCTCACCCCAGGCTGTTCCGTTAGAGCGAGGCCATCTGCAGAGATGTCAGCAGAGCGCCCCCCAGGGAATGGCGCCCTTTCTGACAGTGAGCGACTCCTGTGCATTGCGACGCGTGCTGCAGTGTGGACACTGCTGAGTGTAGCTCGTGAAAGGCCACAGCAGTGCAGCTCAGCCATAGGCAGGGACCTCGCTGTTCTGCCTCAGGCTTCTGAGAAGCTGGAGTTATTTCACTTAAAAATTTTGCCAGAGTTTTAGCTCAGTGGTTCCACTGCCTACCTCTCAAGCACAAGGTCCCGTGTTCGATGCCCGGTACCAAAACAAACAAAAAAATTTTTTTTACAAAATCATATTTGGCTTAGGGCGAAGGAAACATTGGACATTTTGTTTTTATAAGAAAAAAGGTACCTAGAAACTCATCTTAAAATGTTTTGTAGTTTTGTTTTGTTTTTAGAGCACTTTGTATTTCAGGCCGGCCCTGAACTCACTCTGTAGCCCAGGCTGGCCTCGAATTCACAGCAGTCCTCTGTCTCAGTCTCCTGAGTGCTGGGATGACAAGTGTGTGCCACCACGCCTGGCTTGTTTTGTGGCTTTTACCATTACAAGGCCTTGAAGTTTTGTTGAATTCACAGTTTTCTGTGTGTCCTTGAAGGAAGTAGGGAAGCTCTCTGTCTAACATTCTCGGCTCTTGATGATCTCCTCCTCTCGTCCTTTGCAGGGCAATCTACAGATCCATCACGTCGGCCAGGACGGACAGGTAAGGCTCCCTGGTGGACGGCACACGCAGCAGACAGCGCTGCCCGGGCCGTGTCACACAGGGCCGGGAGGGTGCTGCGAGGCAGCCCCTGGGCTCACAGCCCTGGCTCTGTGGGATTTGATGCTAGTTTTTGCCTCCTAGAGGAAACTTCCCTTGAGTTTATTGTTCTTCATTGTGCCTATACGTGAAAGCTGTTGACAATGGTGTTTGTGCAGAAGCTGTGAGTGAGGCCAAGGTGGCTTCACTTGTGCCCATTGCTCACACTGGCACTTGTAGTGTAATGCCTGTGTCTGGAGAAGAAAGGGCAGCCCTAGCCCTTTACTGAACACATCCTATGGGATTCTGTGCTCGATGAGGTACCTGCCCTGAGGTTCTGGGGAGGCCGTGGCTGTCCTGGAGTGAGGAGCTACATCTTCCTGGCCTCTCTGGTTAAGCACAGTTTCTGATGAAGATGCTTCCCCTCTGCATTGTTGGGAGGTTGTGGGCGGGCTTCCGGTTTCACAGAACGTAGCTCAGGCACCGGTGCAGAGAACCCACCCCCGAGTTCACTACTGTCCAGGTAATGATGCTCCCTGTTTTCCAATCCAGTGTACCTTTGAGGCCTGGATGTCCATCTGCCCAGCATTCCGGTAGGCCCTGCTCCTGTCAGTCCTGCAGTGCAGGACAGAACACCCAGGGTTAGGAGAGGGTGCTTTCCCCGGGGAGGAGGCTGCGTGCCTGAAGAACTTGTTGGAATAGGGTTTCTTATCTTGAAAGCTTCAACTTAAAAATAAACTTCCCCATCAGGTAGTGCTATGAGATTAGTACATAAATATGGAATCACTGCTTGGGGAAGGAGCGGAGGCACAAAGCTAGAGCACCCACAGTGTCCCTGCTGTGCTGTGGACTCTTGGCGACAGGTCTCCCCTGTTCACTTCCTGCTGCCCACGTCTCATGGTTAGCTGGGCACCTGAGGACCCACCACCCACACAGGGATCCATCTTTGTTTTTGAGCTTAGTGATTTGTACTTACACTGGGGATGGAATTTTACCGTAGTTAGGTTGTAAGAAAAATCAAGTTCCCTCCCTTTGTTTGATGTTCCGTTTCTTTGTATGCCGAACAATGCCTGTGTGGAATTTTAAATATAATCAGGTTTTTGTCTTACATTAGTGCCTTGCTTATGCCGGGGCTATAGACCGAGTACTCGATCCTCTGGGCCAGAGGCTGCTGCGGCTGTGCAGGGGTGAGAGCGCAGGTGTGGTTGGGTTCAGGAAGGGCTGTCGCCCCTGAGGAGCCAGCCAGAGCCCACAGTAGTCTGTGCCTGATGGCTTCCACTCTTCCTCCACAGTGCTCACGATGCGCTGCCCTTCCGTGACTCCAGTCTTGTTCTTAAGCAGCCTCGCTGCAGACTAAACAAAATGGCCACATGGATCACTTTTTATACCAAATAGTAACTTAACCTGTCCTGTGTGGGACTTCAAGTCAAAGCCAGCCCCCTAAGTGGAAGCCAACAGCAACACCGATGGTAGCTAGTGGGGATTTCATACCTGGCACCCTCTCCTTCTTCAGAGGCAACTCTGCTTTCTGATTTAAATACACAGTATATGTGTTCCTAGGAGGCTGCCTTTTCTCTGGTTAAATCTATTTTGCTCATCTTTTCTTGTTTTTGTGGAAATTCTGTTTTCGTCTTATCATTTGGCCAGTTTTCATACTTATTAAGTTACTCTGCTCATAATGGCTTCATTTTTCAAACTGACCAGATAATTGTGCAACAGAGTGATGTTTCAAAAGGCACACAATACCCTGCTCTTCTTGACATCCCTGCTGGGGCTGCAAGGCCAAGCCCACACCTGGGGGCGGTGAGCCCCCCCCCCCAGGACAGCACTTGTGGGTCTGGGACTGTCCCCTGGCCTGACGCAGCTGTGGGTCTTCCTTGTCCTGGTGTAAGTATCGGTGTCTGAGTTACTGAAACTGACTGCACAAGGCTCACCCCAGGGTTATAAGAGAAAGGTCTGCAGCAAAAGCATGTTTTCCTGAACTGTAAAAGCCCTTGAGGACCTTTCTATTATTGCTTCTCTTGAGTTCTTAGGTCCCCTGGCTTTCCCGCCCTGGCTGTAGGGAAGATGGGGTCACAGCAGGCAGGATAAGAGGGCTGTGCCGTGGGCAGGCAGCTGGGGGTGGTGATGCCTCTGGAGGCTGGGCCCTGGGCACAAAGGGTTGAGTCCAGGGAGGTTGCAGCTGCCTGGAAGGTCTGCCATGGGCTCATGTGGCATGGCCATGCCCAGTCTTGGGGAGGGAAAGTCCAAGGCTTTAGGAAGTTCCAAGGGCTGTCATGCCTGGCACCCCTCCCAGTGGCCCCTCCCAGGGGGCTGGCTCCTGGCCCTGGCCTCTGTCCTTCGCTGGGCGTCAGCTGTGCTGGCTCCTGCTACTCCAAGGCCCTCCTGCGTACATAGCTCATTGACCCTTTTCCATGGCTGGTAAGTGGCCCAGTGTCCAGCATCAAGAGGTGAAGTTTCCTGGAGCCCTGACATCTAAATCGCCGCTGCATCTTTACCTACTGCGGCTGGTTGCAGAAGTGCCTCCCCTCCCCTCCTGACACTGGAAGCCTCAGCGAGCATGGCATGGGTGTCTGGGGAGGGCAGGTTTGCAGGAAGACGCAGCCTGGCCTCCCGCCTGCACCCCATGCACCCCATGGTCAGCTTCCTTCCTCATCGCCTCTCCGTTGCTTCTCTAGGAGGAAGGTGGTGCCATGTTGGTTGCCATTTCAATTAAGATGCAACTGCTGATCCTGGACTGGGGCCGGGGCAGGCAGCTCCTGGAGTGAAGTGTGGGGCCTGAGCCTGGGCCTGGAGCTACTCGGCAGTTGAGGCTTCGTTCCAGCTGGTTCTGGTTGAAAGTCGATTGGAAAATTGGCACATAAAGCTAATGGAAACTGCTGATTGCTTTTGTCCCCTGTGTAACCATTGATACTGTCGGAGCATGGGTGACTTCTTACGCTGATCCCAAATCCAGTGTCTTTGTCCCTCCACCAGGCGAAGTGCTCCCTCACAGCACGTTATCGTGTGGGCCTGGGGGACTCGGGGCTGGGCCGCGTAGGCTGCCAGATCCGGATGCCCGGGCTCCATGACTTCTTTCCAGAGTGCCGGCCAGCCACGTGGTAGGAGACGCGTTACTTTTGGGGTTGTCAGTTTGGTTGCTCTAGAGTTTCTTATTACTGTGTCACAAGTTGTACCGTGGATGCGCATGTCTAGTTGCACAGCTGCTGGCTGGGAAATACATGATTGTTTAAGGGGAGCTTGGGTGAGATGGTTGCTTGACATTCTCAGCTCCGAGTGAGCTGGCACCATGGTGTCTTGGAAACGCCGCGCTCTTAGCTGTGACTGTGGGAGCTTTACAAGAGGGAGCCTGCGGAGGAGAGGGGTCTGCTGGGCTCTCTGTCCCTGCCCATGCCAGGCTCTCACGGCTCTACACAGCCACAGAGAGGCGCAGACCTTCCTTGCAAGTGGAGGATTGGTGTCGATGCACTTCATCGCTTTCAAATACACTTTTAAAGAATTAACGAAGGGCGTCTTGTCCTGTGCGCCCAGCCCGCAGCCCCACCGTCCCCAGGGAGCCTTGCTGGGGCGTGGATGCAGTGGCTGCTGCAGTTCTCTGCGCGGCTGCTGCGGGACCGAGCCAGTGAGAGTGGCTGCTGTGCCTGCTGACAGTCGCGCTGATCCTTAAGTGCCAGGTGAGGAGGCCCCTTTCAAGTCTGACACCCTGCCCCACTGTTCCTTGTACTTGCTTTGAGCGTGCACCGTGGAGCAGCTGCTGACTTTGTAGTGCATCTCTGGGAAGCCTTTCACTGGCAGTCACACATCTGACGCCGCCACTCAGTGTCGAAGCTGTTAATGTCCTGGGGAAGAGGCACTTATGTTTAACTCCTCAGCCTTTGGAGAGCGGCGAGGAACAGTGAGGATGTTGTTCCTCAGGCGAGAGCTGTGGTAGGTTTCGTGCTGACAGGCCAGAGGACTAAACTGTTTGAACTTGAAAATGCACACGTTGAAATGCCCCCTGTGTCCCTCTGGCTAAGCACTGCAGCTCTGTGTGGGCCGCGGACCTGCTCTGGACGCCAGCTCGGCCTGCCCTGGGCCATCCTCCAGCTCGGCTCAGCTCATGTCACATAGAGACAGTGGGAACCTAGGAGAGAGAACAAGTGGTTGTGGAGATCCAATTTTGCACCATCACAACGTTGAAAAGCCATGAGCAGGGGCCAGAATCTGTGAACCTACGGCAGGTGTGTCACAGCAGGCTTTTTGTGTTATTGAAAGCACTAATAGTCCATCGTTCACTGATATGCGTGATTCTGCACTGGAAACCTCCAGGGCTACAGGAGAGGCCCTGCCCACCAGCCAGATGCCCTGTCACCAAGAGTGAGGTGGCACGAGTCACAGAGCAGGCACAGAGCCCCAGGAGCCTCACACCAGGGCCCTGAGGCCATGGGTTTCTGTGCAGGTCCTGGGCTGCTGGCAGGAGGGAGACTGCAGGCTCCTTAGAGTGGTCTTTATGTTGCCTTCCTGACAGGTGCTTTGAGTGTGGAGACTACTCCTTTTGGGGTGCCTTGGGCACCTGAGCTGAGTTCCTGCGCTCCCACACATGGGGAAGATGGCAGGGAGCTGTTCACGATGGGCAGGTGGTCAGCAGACAGAGCCGGAGGTGACTTTCTCTTTGCGACAAAGGCTGAGGCCAAGGGATTCTTTGTGGGCTGAGGGCAGTTACTTACATGGTGACGTGTGCTGATGATCATCGCTATCTCAGTCTCTGGTGGGTGACATTCCAGCTCGGGGTGGCGGGCTGCCCCGAGACAGCCTGCAGGTGGTCTCCTGTCCCCTTCATTTGACTGTGCTGTACAAATGAGTCCACCCCGGGCTCTGTCTCCTCACTGGCAGAGTGGGGCTAATGAAAGTGGACAAGGCAATGTCTGCGCGGAGTGCCCAGCTGTGCATTCCTGGCCCCTGACCAGTCCTCCATGTGAGCCGGG